GCATTGCGTGACTATGAGGATAGTGTGTATAAGCATGTAGATTTCAATTTCTGTACAGTCTAATCTCTAATTTCACCATTCACATTTTATATTAAGAAATTATTTTAACCCAAAAAGCAAATTATGCTCCCTTCAAACTGGTTGTCTTTAAAATACAAATCTTGTATAACCCCAGGCTATCTGTAATCAGAAGCACATTTAAAACTGGAATATAATTTCATTTCATTCACATGTGTTTCATAAATACATAATCATTTCTGGATTACAATACGCCATCAAAATTTTACATTTAATTATTCTAGCTGCTGTGAGAAAAGTCTATAAACGATCCGCCACCTGCAGGATCCTCACACGCGATAGCCTAGTAGCTGGGACAACTTCTTTATGCTTACAGACATGATGTAATGACGCGGCAGCATGCTTGAATTTCCCGTGAAAACCTACCTGTACCACTCAAATTAGAAACCATTATTATGAGCTAACCATTGTGAATCGGGCTAAAGGCGATAGTTTTGAACACTAGCTGGTTATGTACTTGCTCAAATATTGTTTTCGGATAATTTTTTATCCAAAAAAAAGTTACAAACTGCAGTTTTAATGAAGAAAGTGAACTCATCATGACCTCCTTGTCTCGTCTCCAGGGCAGCCACTAGTCCTTGTTCGGACTCAGGGTCGGCAAACTCTTTAATGAGGGCTTCTCGGAGCAGTTGGTAATCAGTCTTTTTGTGAGCAGTTCAGGGCTGGAGGTTGTTCGGAGCAAATAGAGTCTATCTTTGTCAGTGACGTTAGGTCTCATTTCCAGATGGAAATCGATATCTTGGAGATAAGCTTGGACATCCTGGCTGCCTGGCACACTTGGGGTGAATTTGCCAATGTTCCTGGCGAGCTTGTCGAGGTCTTTTAGGTCCAAGCCGTGCGATGATCTGCGGCTGGCTGCAGCAGGTTCGTTTAGCTTTGTCGTGAGGTAAAGTTCCTCAGAGGGAGCTGGTGAATGTTTCAGCACTGCCCCCTTTTGCTCACGCGTCAGTCCAGGAACAGGTGACCCGGTCCTGCTCGGAAGGGGTGAGGTCGGTGCCCATCATGTCCTCGACGGCTCACGGCACAATTCGTAGGCGTGTTTGAGTTCATCTCTGAAACTATCGGATTCCTCTTTAATGTAGTCGTGCTGTCGTGTTAGGCGGCTGATCTCGTTTCTTGACTCATCCAGGTGAGTTTCAAGGGCTTTGATTCTGCTGTTCTTGTCCCTGAAGTTAGCCTTTGCCTTTTCCAGTAGCTGTTCTGCATACTGTAACTTGTTTGAGCGATCAGCGTAGTCTGCCTTGACTTGTTCCAATTCTTGGGTAGTAGCTGCTAGGGTCTCTTTTAGCCTGTTGATCTCTTCCTCGGTGCCTTGTTCCACCTCATCAGGCCCTTCCCGTCGTTCCTGAGTTCTAGCTGCTCGACGCGTCGTTGTGCACGTGTTAGCTCCTGCTGGAGATGGGCGGCGTGCCTGTCGCTCAGCTTGAGGGTGGCGATGAGCTGCCCCCTTTTGCTCACGCGTCAGTCCAGGAACAGGTGACCCGGTCCTGCTCGGAAGGGGTGAGGTCGGTGCCCATCATGTCCTCGACGGCTCACGGCACAATTCGTAGGCGTGTTTGAGTTCATCTCTGAAACTATCGGATTCCTCTTTAATGTAGTCGTGCTGTCGTGTTAGGCGGCTGATCTCGTTTCTTGACTCATCCAGGTGAGTTTCAAGGGCTTTGATTCTGCTGTTCTTTTCTCTGAAGTCAGCCTTTGCCTTTTCCAGTAGCTGTGCTGCATACTGTAACTTGTTAGAGCGTTCAGTGTAGTCTGCCTTGACTTGTTCTATTTCTTGGGTAGTATCTGCTAGGGTCCCTTTAAGCCTGTTGATCTCTTCCTCGGTGCCTTGTTCCACCTCATCAGGCCCTTCCCGTCGTTCCTGAGCCTCCAGTTCTAGCTGCTCGATGCGTCGCTGTGCGTATGTCAGCTCCTGCTGGATATGGGCGGCGTGGCTGTCGCTCAGCTTGAGGGTGGCGATGAGTGTGTGGCTTAAGGAGCCAGTGATCTTTGCTAATTCTTTGTGACTGTAGCTCTGACTTGGGTCTTGTCTCATAAGGCTTGTTATGTTGTCATCCAGCTGGTCCTGTGTCTGATGCTTCAGTGTTTCAGCAGCCTTAGGTAGGAGGCTGTCTGTTGCAACACTTAGCCATGTCTCGAGGTCCTCCTAGTGGCCAACGCTCTGACTTGGGTCTTGTCTCATGAGGCTTGTTATGTTGTCATCCAGCTGGTCCTGTGTCTGATGCCTCAGTGTTTCAGCCGCCTTAGGTAGGAGGCTGTCTGTTGCAACACTTAGCCATGTCTCGAGGTTCTCCTAGTGGCCAACAGGGTCTGTTGTGCGAGACATGTTTTGACGCAGTGAGGGAGATCTAGAACCGAGACTGACACAGACCTTGAAGAGGACAAAAAACAAAACAAAACAAACAAGCAAAACAGGGGTGTAAATGTGCAATGTAAAGTGTGTGCTGATGTTGAGTGTGTAATGAGCAGGTGGAGTGTGGTTCTCTGTGACGGTGATCCTCTGGTGGGCGTGCTTTTTAATTTGTAGTCTCTGCGGAGAAAATTATTGAGCACACACACAGGTAGCACAGCTAGAGAACAGAGAAAGAAAAGAAGAACACCAACAGAGCAAAGAACAAGGTAATAATTGGATGCTTCTGGACAGAGGATTGTAAATGGGGATTTTTTTTTTTTAAATAAAACTGTGATTGCTATTAAAATTTCCTCCGGGGTGAAGGAAAACAACAGCAATGACAGTATTGGTCTCTCAATGGCAAGATTGACACCATAAACTAATTAGAGTTTTCTTCGGGTGTGTTTAAAATTTTGCCGACGCCTATCTTCTCGTTGAACTGCTTTAGACTTGGCTGGGTAGAGTTTCACAAGAGAGTGGAAGGTAAATGGAAGACAATTTTGAACCGACGTTCTCAAGTTTCACAAATACCTGTTCAATTGCTAAAGTTTTCTGCTTTATGATTTATCCACAGGCAAAATCCCAGCAAACAGCCGCAGTAGTCAAATTAGAAGAAAGCAGCAGAGAGACAGAGAAGAAGGAGAGTGAGGATTTGTTCCCAATATCAGAATGAATAACAAGGTTGAGAGTGTGGTGGCGCTGTTGAGTCGATACACTTAGGGGTTTGGTTTTGCTGTGTTAGCAGGATAAAACTAACTAACCTAAGTATTGAGGAAAACCCTCATTTTCTTTTGGGGTTTTACTAACTGGATGGGTCAGTGCTCTTATAAACTAGGCTTGGTGGTGAGTTAAATTGGTTCAGTGGAGTCCAGTGGCAGGTCCCACTGCTTGAGCGCACGAAGTGAGCTCCTGTAAGGTCACCGGACACTCCGTCCTCACATACTGCAGTGAGCCTCTCAAACAGCTACGGCTTTTAGCACAACCGGGCAACACTCGGGTGAGGCGCGTCAACGACTAACTGGCCTGAAAAGAGAATGAGGCTAAGCCCTGCAAGCTACCGAGACAACCGTCACTTCACCGACCAAGCACTAGGGGGTGCACAATCCACTAACCGGCTTAAGCCAAATGGGAAAACCTATGAAAATTTGGGCTGAGTTAATCAATTAGCTGAAGGATAGAAAGGATGACCTAACAGGTGGAACCAGAACTTGATTGCAAATGAAATTCGAATTTCAAATTAGAAATGATATTTCCTGGTTAAAATTTAATGATGTTATCATTAAAATTGATAACCAGTAGGCTACAAAATGCTAAGTGCTAACCGCTAGTGTTCTATGCTAATAGCTTTGCCTAGGCTTCAATGCAAACTCATTAGCTTCAGTTAGCTTAGCTCATGCTAAGCTATTTGTTTACAAACAGCTCAAAAATGGCGCTGGCGGACTGCGCTTGCGCACTTGAAAGTTACCCTGGAAAAGGTTTCTTAGAACTTCTGGGTTACTGCTGTTACTATGGCAACATACCCTGCAATAAGCTATCATGTGCTACACACAGTCTATGGTTATACACAGTTTAAGTACATCACAGGAGATGTCAGCGCATTTCACACTAAACAACCAAAAAGCACTATTGAGGTTATTATTTTACAGCGCTGAACAATCTCAACTCATTAGAGTGAGGTAAATTAATCTACAGATTTTCTGCAATTAATACAATAACGTTATTGTAGATCTCGGCGGATCTAAGCACTTTGTGTTAGGCTATATAGACAGGAAACCACAATTCTACTTGATCAAGATTTCACAATTCTCCCATAAAATAATGTTCGGACACTCTCTCTGAGCACCGCGTGTCAAGTTCACTAGTTTAACTAGTTCATAATTAAATGGCCACAAGCATTAGTTAGCTACTCTAAGCTCGGTACCCAGGGAGATTTAATAGCATAGATGAATTTGGAAGTGGAACACGCACCAACAAATCAAGCTATGAGGCCTTATAAAAGAAGAAAATGAGGAATCCGCTCACTTCTCTCTTCGTGCGCCTTTTAAAGCGACTTAATCTGTTTTAGCAGACAGCATTTAAATGTTAATTATTTACTGCAGTTCACTTCTTTAAACAACAACTCGCGTTGCACTTCATTCATCCAAAACGCTCCGCCATGCCATAATAACAGGTACAATAACACACAAAACTCTGTTCCTCTATCTCTGATCTATTTCTTCCGGTTAGCAATAGAACAAATACACAAAATGATGGTGTTATGAATTTTTAAGTCAAATTTGCCCGCTGTTTTTCTCCACCATAATATGTAATAACTTTAAGGATTTAGCTTTTATTTCAGCTTTTAGGGAATCGATTCTTAAAGATTCGATGTTGATTTCTTCAAGTTGATCTGATTCAAAGTTTAGAGCTTATACTTTATCAACGGTTCGTCCAGCGAGCATTAAAATCAGTATATCTTAACAATTCTGTTCATATTACTTCATGGCCAACGACAACACAAACAAAATGGTAATCTTATTAATTTTGAGCAAGGTAACAAAGGATCTGGGCAAAGTTTGACTTTAAAATACACGTCACAAGACAATACTTCTTTTTAAATGAAACAAAAGTGTATTCGCTATTCTATGGCACATTAAACTAAGCTAAAACACACACATATACACAAAAGGTTCAGGAAATGAGTTGCTGCATTTGCATGAAGTTCCCAAAGTTCTAATACTGGTTTTCTACGAGTTCTTTAAATTCAACCTGAGAAAACTCATAAAA